AATGGTCTAAACCTCTAGGCCATGCCGCTCGATAAACATTTCAATGCCGTAGTACATTTACTTGTAGTTTTAAATTTGCCCTTTTATTCATGTGCGCCGTATCTGCAAACGTGTGTGTCGTACCTGCGTTCCGGGAAAGCAATTAAACCGTTCAACGAAAACGAGACTTCTCTGGACGGCAGGAGAATGTTCCCGAAAGAAGGCAAAGGAGTATGAAAAAGGAAGAGACGATCGCCGAGAAGAAAAGAAATAAATTGACCGTTGCAGAAGTGAATCAAGAAATAAATAGAACAGTGAATAGTAACAGTGGTGTAAATAAATAGAATAATTACCGAAGTTTAGTAATAATTTAATAGTGTTTTTTAATTTAATAGTAATTAGTGTAAATAAATAGTTTTCGTCTTAAAAGTTAATCTGTTAAACCCACGAACATTACAATATTTTAAGTTTGTATTTTTGTATATAGCTCCAAAACCGACACTTTACCCTTACTTAGAGTTTCATAACGCCTACCACTTTCCAATTCTTTATCTCAACCAATAACAGTAACTACCCCTTGTACATAGTTTAGTTTTTAATTCCTTATACATGTATTACATTAGAATCAATTTTGATTCATTCCTTTTGATTCATTCACTCTTATCAATTCTATCTAACTAACTACGCAAATTTAATTAGGTGCTTCGTCCGTCTAAATCAAGACGGGACATTACGGTAGGCATTTAAGAGTTTAAGTACACTCTCGGGAATAAGTACAAAGAATATATGCAATTAGACTTCTACTTCGGATTAACAAAGACAGAATTTAGTGGAAAGTAGTCTTCACAATGTGTACAGGTAAACAGTTTTTAAGTTTTTTCAACTTCCGATAACGAACTAGGAGAAATTTTGTAACGTATATATATAGATATATATTATCTAAACACGCAAATGGCGAATCCTATCAAGATTGATAAATTGATCTTTTACTTTTGTTTTTACAACACTTCCAACTTCTAATGTCTATACAGAATATTGCATAAAAGTGGAAAACAGTTTTTGCCTTTCATGTACCTCTCAAAACTCCCCCTCAAAGTTATTCAGATGGTCTAGTAGGAAAAATCCTGTGATCAACAAGCTGACGGAAGCCGAAGTTATTGGAAGTTTGCTTGCCGTTTTCACAATTTCTCAAATTTTTATATAAGCACAGTTTCTGCAATGAAAGTTTCTTCTCGAAATAATAAGTTTTCGTAATTTTTATAAAAATGCCAATAGTGAAAACAGCAACGAACAAAGATTTCACTTTGTATATATACAATTCCCAGAAAATGTGTATTATCATAAAAAATCTTTGAAATAGTATTTTATAAATTTCCTAAGTAGCCTCGGAATTGTGTACAATTCCTAAATTTAATAAACTGAAAGTCAAATTATTTGAATCGATAATCGTTTGGTTTTACTAATGTTCAGGGGCGGATCGTGAACTTGTGGGGCCCTGAGCTAATACTACTTAGGAGCCCACATATTTGCTCAACTAGATGTATTTTATCAAAAAACTGTTGTCTATAATGATCTAGATATGCGGTATAGGAAAAAAAATAGGACAATAAACAATAACAAAAAATCCATGTCACTGAGACAAAAAAAAGTGCGAAAAAAAAAAATTGCGTCGGATGATAAGCGGCGGGAAGTCCCCCGCAATAGACGCACAAACGAGAAAATACACCGACCGAAAACAAGCGACAGGGAATTCCCCATTCCGTTCGATAA